ACTTGTCATTTCAGTTCTGATGTCAGCAAGAGTCATTAAGGGTTACTGGAGATAACAACATATCTATTTTAACCTCGATCAAATAAACCCAACTTTATATTCCTTCATTTTACTTCTAACAATCTTGATCTTTAGTCCCTTCAAATACTGTCCTAGAACTTGAATTCTTTTCATTTTTTCTTTGTCTCTTCTCACAAAATTCTTCAAAGCTTTAACAATCCTCTTTTGTAAATCCAATATAGGAAAATCATCCAGGTCACTCTCTTGGTTTGTTATTTGTATATCCCTTTTAATTATTAAGACATCAGCCGATATGTCGAATGTTAGAATATTTTGCTTCATTCTATATTTGTAAGTCGAGTTTGAGTGTTCTTTTCCTTTAATTGTAAACTTCAGTTCCTTCTAGTTCCCTGTAGTGTCCAATTTTAAGTCTTCTCTTACTTTTTATTAAAATTTTAAAACACAAGCATTTTCCCATGGGAAGGATTCTTTATAATTAATTCCAAAACCTTATTTCAAATTTATCTGGACCCTTAATCCATTTGTAACTTTCTAAAATAAAAGTTTTAATCAACCTTTTGCTGTTTATCCCCCCCCCCACCAAATTTTTAAATCCTTAAACTTGTATTTTAAACTTCTTTTGGATTAAAGAAAACTCACCCAGTGCTGTAAAACCTGTGAATCCAAAGGTTCCCAATAGCTGAAAAGCAGTTAATGAGCAATTTCCTAAAGTTATGGACCCAGTGTCTTCTCAAAGGTGCTGACCATGGTTTGAGCAAGATGGCTATTCCCTCATCTCCCAGAGCTCTAAATCCACTGGAGACTGCTGTCTTGTGGTTTTTTTGCAAGAAGCAACTGTCTGGAGCACTTATGGGCAATCTCAAGTCCTCTCCTTGTCCAGAAACGAAGTATTGAAGAGCCGGTCTACTCGCCAGCTCTTTATTCCACTGCGGTTGTTGGCTCCACAGTCCGCCATTTCTTCCATAGAAATCCTATAGGAAAATAACTTTGGTAGGCTTTCAAGATTCTGTTACTTTACCCTACTAGCAATAAAGATCTTTCCAGAAATCCAAGTGATGCTTGTTTCCTGAGTTTGTCAGGAATTCAGTGCTTGAAAGGTAATGGTGCTTTGTGAATGGTGCTGCTGCTTCTCTGAGGCATCATTTCCCCCTCAATAAATACTCTATTCCTTCAAAGGCCTCTAGGACCAGATGATGCCAACATCTGGGGAAAAGCAAAACTGTTCTTCTGAAAATATGCTTTGAAAGATTGGAGGATTTTCTGTAGTCAGAGATATAAAGAGAAGAGAGAAATTTTGATAATTTATCAGTTTATATGGCCTCCTCATCACCTTCAGTTAGGTGTCTCCATTAGATTCTGATGCATTCAGTATCTAGTCCATTAATTTTCCCCCCAGTCTTGTTGCTTTGGGGTATTTGGCATATTATCTGTTGGCAGTTTACGATTGTTGATTTTGCATTGTATTTTGACTGTGTTGTGAATACATTATTGAGAGAGAATGGATAAATACTTTTTAAAATAAAACATGGGGGACAAATTTTTTATCAAATTTGTTACTTTTTGAACTTATTTTAAAAATCACCACCAGAATACTACAAATTTAATATGCAGGATAATGAGGTGTGTTTGACTTCTAATAGGTTAAATGTCAAGTTTTCTTGTTGATCAGTTGTAGATTTTTCAGCATTTCATTTTGTCTTATAAAATAACTTAAATATTTGAATAAAAAAGGATATCTTTTATAGTAATGATTTTCTGTTCTTTATTTCCCCAAAAGTTACTGAGCCGAAAAGATAAAGCTTCTTTTGACAAACTGGAATACGTAATGAGCAAAGAAGATAATTATAAAAGACTTAGAGACTATATTAGTAGTTTGAAGATGACTCCTTGTATTCCTTATTTAGGTAAGATAAACACTTTAATTTTTTTAGTTCATTAGAATATTGCTATAGGCTGCAGTCTGTGAACTTAAAATTGGAAGTTTTACCATTGCTTGTTTCTGTTTAAAGAAAGTATCTTGCGACTTAAGTTTACAATTCATTCTCTGTTCAACGTGAAGTAACATCATAAAGTTTGTGTCACAAAGCTGATTTAGTCAGTTTGACCCCCTAACTTGCTTATGGAGGCTGCTGATGATCAGGGCTAAGGCAGCTTCACCAGTTGAGGTTTTCTTGGTTGTTTAATGAACCTGTGTTTTTGGATATGGTACTTTGAATTTTTGTTATTACAGGTAGTCCTCATTTAACAACTATTCGTTTAGTGACTGTTCAAAGCTATAATGGTGCTGAACAAAGGGACTTACAACAGGTCCTTGCACTGACAACCATCGCAGCACCCCCGTGGTCATGTGATCGTGATCCAGGTGCTTGGCAACCAGCTCTCACAACGGTTGCAGCATCCTGGGGTCACATGATCGCCATTTGCAACCTTCCCAGCTGGCTTCCGGCAAGCAAAATCAGTGGGGAATCACATAATTTACTTAATGACCATGTGATTCACTTAATGGCTGCAGTGATTCACTTAATGACCACTGCAAAAAAGGTTGTAAAATCGGGCACGACTCACTTAACAACCGCCCCGCTTAACAGTGGTCCCTATTGTCACTAAGCAAAGACTACCTGTAGTCACGTTCACAGAAAATGTCTGGACTATATAACAATCATGATTTTGCATATAATATTTTTAAATGTCTTTGAGCATAGGCAGAATACTTTTTCTTTTACATTGAAAAATGTGACATGACAAGTAGGCGTGTTAGGAGTTCAGTAGGTACAATATTTTAATTTTAATTAAATTTCAGCAGTCTAAAAAGAAAAAAGCAGGAGGCTAATTTTTTTACCCCATCCCTTTTGTGACATCATCATTACTGCTATTATCCTTGGGGTGAATTTTGTTGTTGTTTTCTTTTAAAAAAAGAGCACTACCTTATTTTAGATATTTCACACTGCTTCCATATTGCCTTGCCAACGCATACAGTGCATTCGGAAAGTATTCAGACCCCCTTCACTTTTTTCAATTTTGTTATGTTGCAGTACTGATACTACTACTATTAATTTACAGACATTTCTTTTTTTTAATAATATTTTATTGAAATTTTAAAATTACAAAGTTAAAAGTTAGAAAT